CACCGTTGGATGACGGCTCAGTGGTCTAGTTTGTTAAGCGCCTGGCGCAAGACCGATAGGTCCTGAGTTCGTATCTCGCGGTGGCGGGATCGTGGATGCGCACTACTGAGGAGTCCAGTGATAGGATGAAACGGCCGTCCAGTGCATCCAAGTTTCCCATGGTGGTCTAACTCCAATTGACTCATGATTTCAATCAGTGAAAATACTAATCAATCAAGTCATGATTTAGCCATTGGTTTCAACGACTCAACATTCTATGTATATCATGTTTAATGTCAGAGATTCAAAGATAGCCTTAGAACAAGAATTCATGCCAGTTGGTCCTTATGATTGATTTATATTTATGATCTTGATGGGATTAATGATCTTCATAAGATTTAAATTAGAATTACGCAATGTCACAAGAATTCAGGAACTGCTCAGATAACATACGATAGTAACTTCCTTGATTAAGAAACTTTATTGTATGAATTAGGATCTTATGGCAAGTACTGATCCCTTTGCCGAGTACAAACTAAGTTTGAAGTCTTTTCACACTAAAGTCAACTATTGAAAACCAAGTAAACATTCCAGATCAATTTTGTGTATTGAAAATGAAAACAGAAATGCACTTCAAAATATGTAAAGAGTGGCACTTTTCGTGACCTTGAAGTAGTTAAAAATCAATCATTTACAATACATGATTGAATGAAAGTGGAAGAACAAGATTTGGAGAACAATATGAATTCATTATACTTTAAGATTTCTGATCAGTTCAAAGCAAATTAAATTCTATATTAATAATACTATTATACAAAATGTTTATTACATACTGTAATCGATGAAGGTTAGTTCGAAACGACATAAGAAACATTTAATATAATTGCTATAACGCTCGGTTTTACTTCGTCTAGTGTTATAACGGTTGGGTTTCCACGTTTACATGTATGGGATGTTAATTTACCTTAGACGAATATCTACACTAGATTCCCTCCCAGTATCTATTCGACAGGACTTCAACACAACTCATATCAAGAACACGTGATTAGCCTGACCAAAACGTAAATATATTTCCACATCAAAAACCCGACACAATCCAACAACAATGAACAATCAATAATAAGGATAAGGGAATATATAAATCATCTGACACCTGTCAGACTATCTACATATCTGACTAAGCAGATAACCAAACATTATCATTCTCGCCCATACATCAATAATAGTTAAGATTGATTAGTACTGATATGATAAAGATGAAGTCATAAAAAAATGGGAAAGGGGGAAAGTTGTAAGTGATAATAAATAGATAATGAATAGAAACAAATTATTAACAGATTAGTGATAATCAAGACGCCTAATTGACATAAAATTAAGACTAACGTTGTAAATGAATGTCAGTACGACTTTCTACTTCAAGTTATAAATCATATTGAAAAGACAATGTAACTGACAAGCATTAAAATAATATCTTACTGTGGTAATGATAGAATTACTACACTTTGTTTTTGCATACAAAGGTCATGTCATAAGCGCTTGAAGAAAATAGTATATTTTACCTATTAATTATTTCTAACGCTGTTGATACATCCACCTTGTGTTTATTATCTATTAAATGTTTAATGATCACACTTATGAATACTTTACTTCATTTCGGACACAACTTACGGAGGATGTATTTGAAATACCACGTAAATATCCTTCTTTTGATCCTTCCTATTCAATTTCTTTCACAAGTACATGTCAATTCGTAACTACAGTTGAAGGTGATATCAAAAAGAGTATTGATCCACCTTTGATTGATTTAAGGAATCATTTGATGTTACACACCAAAAATAGTTGAGCTAGATAGAAGTTTCTCTTTAGTGTTGCTATAATACTGTAATCAATCTTGCCCAATAATTACGATGAACACTTAGAAATACAAGGTAATTATTTATATCCGATTTAATGTTATTCATATGTTAGTTTAATTTTTGACTTACTTAGATGTTTATCTATAACAATTATGAATGCCAACTATGATTTGGAAAGAGAATATTATTAGTTAGAACTTCAAAATTATTTCAGATTGTCTTACTGCAAACACATAAAGTTATTTTCAAAAGTTTTCAGGAAAACGTGTAGGGTGGTGATAACATTGCAAACCGTAATGTTACCAAGATATCAGGACACTATACTCGAGTAGGTAGTTAGATTATTCCTCTTCATTGGTAAAAAAAAGTTGAAGTGACCCTTAACTTGACATCCTAAATTTTCTTGTTTTTTTCAGAACAGGATGAATTCGTGAAAATACACTATCATAGTTCACAAACGAAATAACATTTAAATCATGAGTCAGTTGAAGCTAGACCACCATGAAAAACCTGGAAGCACTGGACGGACGTTCCTTCCTAGTATGGGACTCCTCAGCAGTGCGCATCCACGATCCCGCACCACGCGGGGCTCGAACCCGGGACCTACTGGCTTCGCGCGCGAGCACTTAACCATTAGACCACTGAGCCGGCATCCAACGGTGTTAATGTCTAACTTCAACCAATCCACGAAGTTGAGCCACCATATACCATTGTCTTCAGTGAGCTGATATCTCACAACAGACCTGGTTGAACTCCACTGGTGACGGCTTCCCACTAGAACTCCAGGAGTATCTCTTGAAGTCAGTCAGTAGTGAGCAGATGATTATTATCAGAAGGGGTTTGTGGAGATTTTAGAAATTTTCACAGATTTAAATCATGAGTCAGTTGAAAATTTCTAAAATCTCCACAAACCCCTTCTGAAAATAACATTTACTTTTTAAGTTGGCTACTGACATCCAGACTGAATCATTAACCATTGATGATGTATGAATTTAACCATAGTAATAGTTTTTTTACTTAAGTGTAGTAAAGTGAAAGTTGGATCATTTGAAAGATTTGTACATACAGATAAAAACACATCCCTTCGAAATGAGCTATCTTTGTCAAATTGAATTTTGCTTGGCCAATATTAATCGAATGCTGTTAAACGTCTATGATCTGATGATTTTTTTCAACCATAGGAAGTAAATTTGTGTAAATTAGTTCATTTGGACAGTTTGTAAAAGCAAATAATCATTAAGACAATGTTCCCTTCAAGTTAGCAACTCATTCACCATACTCAGTCACGACCTGTTTAGAGATCATAACATTGATATCAAGGTTTAATTTCAGATACTTTACTAATCAGACACTAAATAATAAGTCAGTAATCCACTCCAAACATGGCTGAATTCCAGTCATTCTTTTTCACAAGAATTTAGAGAAATATTTGCAAAATCAGTCACTATTTTATCTACACATCACTGTCATTTATTAAGGTTGTGAATTGTAGAGATTGTTCAGTCTTGATGATGGTAAATTATTGGTTTCAAATTCAGTGATCTAAAAATCTTATGCTTATCATATGACTTGCATATCATGCGTGAGATTTCGTTTGAATTCTCAAAAACCGATCGTACTAAAGTTCAGTGTTTTTCTATTCGTGTTCCGATCATTAACCTGTATCAGTCAATCATATTTTTAAAACAAAAACATGAGTAAAACCTACTTTAAGTTATTAATAAACTTGACTTTTATGTTAGGATAACCATTTTTTTAATTGTTCAATAAATGTGTAATATCTAGCATTTTCAGGCATATTTCTGTTTATTTGATCGATCAGTACTGCAAATAAAACTCCGCCTGGAGTCCCTCAAGGGGCTACCGCCGGTCCCAAGCTCAGATAAAGTAGGAGGGTTGGGCATGGGGTTAGCGACCCCATCCCGTAGAAAACTAACTCGCTAAAAATACGCTAACCAGAAAAAAATGGTTCAAACCATTTAAGTACAGCAAATAAAAATATCATTTTCACTTGAAAGTTCATTTCAGTCATTTACATATGTCTTCCATGAACACGACACTGTGGAACATTCCAACTTGACAGAAAATAAAAAAACAACTAAATAAACTGAAAGCCAAAGCTTAAAATAAAACTTTCAATTTTAAATGTAACACACCTACTTTTTGTGGTTAGCGTTTTTTTAAAGAGTTAGTTTTCTACGGAATAGAATCCCTAACCCCATGAACAACCCTCCTCCTTTATCCGGGCTTGGGACCGACAGTAGCTCCAGGGGGCTTCAGGTATTATACACTATATTGAACACTTAAACATAGATTCACAGTAACATTACATATATGTATCTTATCTCAATTTTTATCTCCTATTTTGATACATCCCACTTCTATAATTCCATATTATTGGGTCAATATTAAAGATTTAAAATCGTTCCATTGCTAACCGCTATTAATCTTTGTATATAATAGTTGTGAATTAAGACTATAACGAGGCAATACATACAGTATGCATATATGCCAATAACAGACTGATCAATTATAGTCCTAAACATCAATGGATAGATTCAAACAAACAATACCAATTGAATTTAAACTTTATCCTATTGCACAAACAAGTGGCTTTCAGGACTCAGTAGCTAAGTAGATAACACGATGGCGTTTAGAAGCGAATGATACTGAGTTCAAGTCCTAGAGTGAACATCAACTCTGAGATACATGTACATCCACCAGCTGACGAATCAAAATAGGACAAAACATGCGCTCTGTATTCCACTACTAATCACTATTCATCTTTGCATATAATACTTGTAAATTAAAACTATATCGAGGCAATACACACAGTATGCATATATGCCAATAACAGATTGATCAATTATAGTCTTAAACATCAATGGGAATAATCAAAGTAACAATACAGAAGTGAATTTAAAATATTACTTCCCTTAATAATTTTTTGATTGGTCAATTCATCGCAATATTTCTTCTTCTTCTTTTTTTGAATGGTTACCATGTTTACTTTATTTATTTATTTATTTAAAAGGAAAAATCTGATTGGTCAATTCATGGTCATGTGTCATCAATTCTATTTTCATAATATCCATGTAAAATTAGGCACGCGATCAATTTTTAAAAAAAAATTGTTTTGGTTACAATTATTGTGTTTAATTCAAGATGTCAATCGATAATAATTTATCACCTACAATTGAACCAATTCGTCAATTATTTACAAAGAAATTATTACAGAATCCTATAAAATATAAAAATATCCAAATAGAAGCCTATGAAGCATGTATGAAAAGTATACAAAACATTCAAAATCAATATAATATTGATTTAAATCAATTAAATACATTGAATTCAATAATAATCAATGATAAATCTTATTGGAAATGGGAAATTATTAATTCAACTATTGAATATATACCATCATTTTATTATCATCAAAATTATGATCGATCTAATAAAACAATAAATCATCATAATAATAATCAATTCAATAATCAATATTCTATTAAACATTCAATGACGATTCCATCAACTCCATGCAAAAAATCAAATCATAATACGATCGATAATAATGGAATATGTATTAAAGATCAATTCACTTGTAAACATTCTATTCCATTGAATAATGAAATTAAACATAAAACTTTACTTAATAATCAATCATGTAATCTATTTACACTATGGCAACCAAAAATAAAACGTGAAAATTACATTCATTTAAATAATGATCAATTAACAAATAAATTAAAAAATCAATCATCTTTCATAAATTATCGATCTAAAAGTTTAGATCATTATTCAAATCATTTAATACAATCAAATCAATTAAATCAATATCATAAAACGAAAATAAAAAATCAATTTTCTTCATGTATTGATCTTTATCAAATGAATAATAAACAAACAAAAAATCAATATGAAACCATTGATTCTCTATCGAAAGAAATCAATAGAAAATCAAAAAGTGAACATATGATTAAAAAATCTAAGCAAAAAATAATCAATAATCATTTATTGATTACATGAAATATTAAATCGAATATTATTGTCTTCTACTACTTAAATGACGATAAGTAAGTAGTATGTTAAGCATCTTTTTTTTAAATGTTCATTCATTTACTGACTACATGATGCTACAATTTTTTTTCTTCTGTTCAATGTATTCATGTTTTCCGTAAACAAAATAGTTTCTATACAGTTTTGTGTTTGTTTTTTTGGTGGAGTTTTGTTCTTTGAGCTGGAATAAAACTCTATCAAAATCATTCACCTGAAATATAAATCTTCTCCATCATCTCAAATCATAAGTGTTTTTAAAATGTTATTATAAGCAACAAACAGTTCGTTCTGATTAAGTATATACTTGATAATTCACTTAATTGATTTCATCTTGATGATATCATCTAAAAAATATTCATAATTCAATCTTTCATCTGGAAGAATTCGATATTACAGAAATCCTTTATTCATTCTTCTATTAATTTCAAAACAGTTTAATAAACCGATAGTCTTTCAAAGTTCGTGTCCTTTTCTAAAGATGACTAGAGTCCCTTTTAAAAACCACTTAATAATCTCACTTTTTCGATGTAAGTTTATCTATGTCATTTTTGAATCATTTCACTATCAATGGATTGAAAGATGATTGAATTCCGACTATGTGGTTTAAAGGTTAAGCGATCACTGCAAGGTCTAAAGATGTTGAGTTCAATCTTTTATAAGGCTGTAGATAAACACAACTGAATAGTTCTCTACTAGGAGCTAAACTAGTACTTTTTAGTCTTTAGTTGTTATTATCACTAAAATTAGTTCGTGATGTAAACTATTAAGCACTTTAACTCTTTTACAACCTTTAAAAATAGTTTATAATATGGTATTAACTAGAAAATGATCAGGTAAAAGTGATTCTTATTATTAAATCACTTAAATAGTGGCTAAATTCTATTCGATATCAATAATTATAGAAAACTCATTTCGTCCAACTTTAGGACTCATCAGCGATGCTCGCTTATAAACTTACGGTAAATTATATCTACAGATATCATGTTTTACATTAACCATGATACTTTTTATTCATTAAATTGTGATCTAATGCCTAATAGTCTCAAATTAACATGAAATATTTATTTACTACTCTTTTGTAATCAGTAGTTTACAAATTGTTATTAGTCTCTTGAAAAAAAGTTTTAATGCAACTTAATAACTAACTATACAAACTTTTGTATTTAATTTAGTCCCGTTTACTTAAGTCAAACTAGGTTAAACTGAATGACATAAATTACACTGAGTATCTGCTTAAACTCATTAATTCCCTATTTTCAGAAGGGGTTTTGTGGAGATTTTTAGTAATTTTATATTTGAATTCATGAGTCAATTGAAGTTAAACAACTATGGAAAATTTGGATACACTAGACGGCCATTTCGTCCTATTGTGGGACTCATCAGCAGTGCACATCCACGATCCTGCCTCACGAGATTCAAACACAGGACCTATAGGTCTCGCTTGCGAATACCTAACCTCCAAACCACTGAGCTGGTCGACATCCAATGGTGTTAATGTCTAGCTTCAACTAATCCACGAAATTGCGACACCGTGCACCAATGTCTTCAGTGAACTGATATCTCACAACAGAACTGGTTGAACTCCATTGGTCACTGTTTCTCACTAAAACTCTAGGAAATACCTCTTGAAGTCAGTCACCAGTGAGCATACGATGACTATCATGAGAAAGGGTTTTGTGGGGATTATAGTAATTTCAATGGTTAAGTCGCACGATAGGAGGAAACGGCTGTCCAGTGCTTCCAGGTTTTCCATGGTGGTCTAACTCCAATTGACTCATGATTTCAACTACTGAAATTTCCTATTTGTTACGGTTATTTTTTTCAAGGTCAATATGATGAATTTAAAGCAGAATCAAATGAATTTATTAAAGATAAATTAGAATTAAATAATTGAGCAACAATATGGTATGTTAATTAGATGTTAAAACATAAATAAACAATTTAAAAAAAAATTTAAAAAAATGTGGTTGATAATCACTAGGGGGAAGTATACTCCCTTTTTTTTTAAAAAAATTGATTTTTTAGTCATTTTATTAATAATTATATTTCATCTTACCAACGAAATGTATTACAACATACACATATGACAGGTTAGAACAGGACAGGACATACACAGTATGGGAAACTTTTTTAAAAATCTACATTTTCCCATTAGAAGAGTGTAGTTAGTTATAGAAATTTTTGAACGTTTCTATTCATAACTACACTAGAGATTATACTCAAGACATTCAGATTTTCTAGTGAAGGCTAAGCCATTAGAATCACTGAGTCAGCATCCAATAATATAATTTTAACTACAATTAATTTATAATATAGTGGAATGGTCATTCAATCCAATTAATGATAAGTGTTTCATTCATAACATGTCTGAACTTCTTTAGTCATGATTTATCAACAAAAATTCTTCAAGTAAACTCTATTCATTAGTTTACTGATGACCTATTTAGTAATGTTCTTCAAATTCCGCTGAGAAATTATATTTAGTGGAGTTTGAACATAACGTGAATGAGACAGTTATCTCTGATTGCATTTGATGATTATCCTGCTATATCATCAACCGGGTGAAGCTGGAATTTTACGAGTGAACACCGATTTGGTAGTTCTAATAGTTAGTGGTTTATAGTGAGGTCTGAAGGTCCTACTTTTGAACCCTAGGTGAGCACCACCGAAAATTCTCTTTAATGGGATCAAGTGACTGTTCAGTCCTCTTGGTTTCGAATCTCGCTAGGCAGGATGGGGGATGCGCACTGCTGATAAGTCCTACAATAGGACGAAACCGCTGTCCAGTGCTTCCAGATTTTCCATGGTTGTCTAACTTCAATTGACTCATGAATCCAACTACAAAATTACTAAAAATCTCCACAAAACCCCTTCTGATAATTACTATTATTATTACCATCATCATTATTGTCATTGCTACAACTCACTTTTGTTTATTGTTTTTCCAGGTGACTACAAAATTGATTTATCAAATGTACAATATTCAATAGTGACCTTGAAGGAGATCATTATCATTACTATATATCTTACTACTACCGCTAATAATAATAATAATAATAATAATAATAATAATAATAATAATAATAATATTCTTATTATTTTGTACCAATTGTTTTAAAGCTAAACATTAATTTTATTCTATTTTGTATGTAACGCAATCTTTTCAGATATTTATGTATAGAATATTGAATTTTCTCTTGGGATCTTATATCTTCTCCTTGTACAATAACAAACTAATATAAACTACGTGTTAATTTATACTTTTTAAAAATATCAGAAGAGTTTTTTGTGGATATTATAGTAATTTCATTGGTTGAGATCAGGAACACCATTGAATGATGGCCAGCTCAATGATCTAGAGGTCAAACGTTTGTGCGCAACCGATAGATCCTGGGTTTGAATCTCGCTAGAGAGGATCATGGATGTGCACTGCTGAGGAGTTCTACAATAGGATGAAACGGCCATCCAGTATTTCCAAGTTTTCTATAATGATCTAACTTCAATTGATTCATGATCTCAACTACTTAAAAAGTCAATTCTTCATATTGTACACATTACATATGAGTGTATATTCATTAATTTTGTTAAGAATAATTGTATGGATCCATTTCAGTTATTTTATGAGTTAAATTATATGTACAGCCTCTTTGTTTTCTTTCTATTTATTTATCTTTTAATATTTAAAATGTAATCTGTAATAAACATGTAAACATTCCAAGTTTGTTTTTATCCCAATAGTTTTGAAGTTTAGAATTAATATCCTTGATATTCTTAGTTATTTCATTTATTGATTTATCAAATGATAAGTGTATATCTACTACCTTATCAGAGATTGAATACAGAACATTCAAGTCTCATGACAACCAATTAATCATTCAACTGATTAATGTTTGACTTATAAACCAATGTATTAAAACTCAGTGATTTAGAAATTAAGTATTTGTTGTGGGAGTTAAGCAACCTGATTTTTGTCCTCGATGAGATCATAAATGCCCACTACTGAATAGTCCTATACTCGAAATAAGCAGCTGTTGAATACTTACTAGTTCCGAGTGCTTGTTCAACCAAAATCAATTTGTGATGTTAATCTTTAATCTCAATAACCTCCACAGCATCCAGTGATAAATTTAATAAGACATTTAGCATTGTTATTTCCATTCTTGAATAAGTTTGTCGACTACTCTCTCTAGTATCTTACAACTGATTTATTTTCTTCGCTGTTAATTTAGTGCTAGAAGACATTTATAACTGATCAAATAACTGCAATAACCATTAGTTATGCAATTGAAAAACTTCTAGATGATGCAGAAGGCAACATATTCATGTTATTGTCTAAATCAAATAAATAAACAATACAGATATTACTAATATTAGTGTCTCTTTCAAGTGATCCTAGAGCGCCAAAATAACAAGTCCGGTTAACGGAAGAGGATTGTGTATGAGGTTTGTAAACCCATGACGTAGAAAACGACTATTCTAAAACACGTTAACTCGAAAAAAATCATTTAACGTATTTAAACTCTGCCCTGAAAGTTGAAGGATTTTCATTTGGAAGAGTTATGATGCCTCATGGTAAAAGCCGAGATTTTTCGAAATTCACAAGGCCAAAGTCCCTCCCTAACAACCAGAGCATCAATTAACATAGCAATAAGATCCGTCAAAACTGTATATTCTCAACACCATTTGGAACAGAGTTCAAGAATTACAAGTCTTTTTGACCATTGATCTTATTTTCAATGGCTTACATTCCTAATCTCAATCAATCCTAAATGTTTGGGCAAATATACTTCCAATATCACTAGTCGATCTTATACTCGACATAGTTGAAAGAAAGGTTTAACATCAGAATGATTTGTTTTCTTAAAAATTCCTAATATAATACAAGAATGATACAAATAATAGAGTGTATTATAATTCTTTCATGGAAAAAGTTGAAATATTGAAACAGTGTAATGTATAAATTCCCTCGG